AAAAAATTTTGATCAAATCTATGTAAAAAGAAAAAAAAATATTCGACTTTTTATTTTCGTAAATTTTATAATGGACATTTCAAATGATTTTGAGAAGATATTAAAGATATTAAAAAAAAATTTTAACTCTATAAAAATCGATTATTTAAACAAATATGAGAAATTAAAACTAATACTGTAATTTTCTATTGCGGCGAGTTTGTATCAGTTTCGGTGTATCAATTTCGGTGACCAAAATTACGTGTATTTTGAAGATACTTTGCCCGCCGAAATTGAAGCCAATGGAAATCTTAAAAATGTTTCAATTGCGGCGCGGAAAAAAAATTTGATCTCAAATAATTAAATTAATAATTGTTTAAATGTGCATCTTTATAAGTATTTGTATCAAAAAAAGATTGAAATAATTTTTTTTAATCATTTGGCAACAGTTATATTAAATATAATAGTAATAATAGTTATTTTTTATGAACGCGCCGTAATTGGTGCACTCGCCGTAATTAGTACACTTACCCTATAAGAATTCTTTTAATTAGAAATTCTGTTAAATGATTTTTCGGTTAAGTAAAACTTTTGTAGTAGGAAAAATTGGTTATATAAAAATTCTATCAAATAAGAATTCGAAAAAATGTAAATTCATCTAAAAGAAAATTCTATGCAATGAAATTCTACCTAATAAAAATTCATTAAAATGGCTATTATGTTAAATGAAAATTCTGTGAAGTGAATTTTGTAATATAGAAAATCGGTTTAATGAAAATTCTGCAAAACAATAATTTGAACAAATAAAAATTTGTCTCAAAAATAATTATATCAAATGAAATTCTATAAAATGAAAATTCACAACTAATGATTTTTAGAACTTATTCATGCGTCCTAATTTTGTATTAGTAAAAGTGAATTTTAGTCAGACACATTGAAGTAGGTTTGTACATTTGGTATCAGTGTAGCCATAAACACGTTTAGTTTGACAAAATGTTTAATATATTTTTAACTTAAGTTCATGCATAGAAGAAGTTTATTTGTATTTGTTGTAAAAATTTTGACTGTAAAAATCACTTTGCAACATTATCGTAAATAATTAAAAAAACTATACTCTCGTTCTTGTTGTTAACGTAGTACAATCTCATTTCAACAAGTAATGATTAATTTAAATAATTAAGTTAATTATAAACAACTAATATTTTTCATAAACAATAAATTAAAATTAAATTGTTCATAAATTTAGTGCTGTATGATTAGCAAATTTTTTTTTTCCAAATAGAGAGGCTTTCGTTGCGGTTATTTTGATCTTTAGCGGATTATGATTTTTTTTTTTTTTTTTTTTGATAATTTGTCTACGTCTCTCTGTTTTAATCCTCTTCGCTGTCTGATAGGTTATATCGTTATCTACTAGCTTTCACAACTTTCGTATTTAGTAAAGCCCGGATTATTCCAAGTATACGCTCATTCTGATTTCTCTTTGTAACTCAAAACTTGGTGAAAATGTTTGTTTTAAGTGATGCAGGTCTTTATCAGTCTCGAATGTAGATGAGTTTAAGTTTTCACAAGCTAAATTAGTATTCTACTCTGTTGATTTTCGTCAAGGTGGCAATAATTTTTAATTGGATTTTAAAGAATATCAGGGTTTGCTATATGATATTATTCATAATGACTTCCGTTTAATAACACGTAAATTAGATGAATGAATGTCTTATAGGTTTATTATTGGTTCTTTTTATTTCAAGTACCTATCATTTCGCAGATGAGAGAAAAAGTATATACTGTAAATGTTTAACGCAAAGATGTGAATAGCTAAGGAAATTAGGAAAATTGATTGTTTTGATGATTGTTGTATATTTGATGAAATAGTTGATATTAGGCAACTTCAAGTGATGAACTGTTGAAAAATTCAGGTCGATTCAGTGGTTCAGAAGAGTTTCGTTAGAAATTCTCCCTCGCACGCTGTAACAGGCTGGGTTTGACAGATCTACCCTGTAGATTAAAGGTTCAACAGAAGAGCCTCGGGAACGAAAGAAGAAATGAAGGATTCAACGATTATACAGTCTGAAGTTAATACAGGTTTAGAGAGGCCGAATTTAAATTCCGAACAAAATGCCAGTTCACTTCTCTGCCACAGGGAATCAGCTACTTAAATATTTCATTTTCCGCTTTACGTCCTCTTTAATCTTATATTTCCTAACATCAAAAACGAACTGATCCATTAACATTAAGTGGTTTTGGCACTCGAAAGATTTCTCAAAATTGTGTCCTTTAAATATTAATTGGCGGCTTGTTTGAGGAGTTGTTATTTGGCACAAGTGAGAGAATTATATTTGTCCTTTGACCTTTCGAAAATTGTCATTTGGGTGCATGCCATCAAGATCCTTGGCATCTGAATACATGACTTTCAAGAGGCACGATACTAAATGTTTCATCATCTCAAGATTTAGCACTTAAACGCCTTTGATTTGCTTACGGCTAAATAAAATTCTAACTGATTCTTAAAACCAGAGAAAATACGATAAACTTGGTCATTAACTGCATACCATGAAATATTTATTTATAATTAATTTTTTTATTATTTAATATATGGCTGAGTATTCTCCATATCTATTTATCATAACGTAGACAATTTGCATAAACAATCATTAACAAATTACAAAAATTATACTTTCATTTAGTTAGATTAATTTCAACTATGGATTTAAAGACAATAATTGAACTGGTTTTCCTTATTTCCTAAACTAATCAGGAAACGGGAAAACGTCATAAAATTACTTGAGGTTTTCCATCCCTTCGTGAAACTAGCACTTCATCTTGGGAATCAATAATGAAATTAGTTGCTGATGGATCGTCTGGATTCTGAGATGATATCTAATTTCCTGGTTGACATGTATGACTAGTATCCATCTATTTGTAATCCTTCTTAGGGTCGATTGAATTGAAGCATCATTTCAACTATATATATCTATATTGACCAATAAATTTTCTTGACGTTGGTACTTACAACTAACTGAAAAGTGATTAAATTTATTAAAATCTTCAATGAATTTTTCAAATTATTTTCGCTAGTTAATTTTCTTTACTTTAATTATATTGAAGTAGATAAATATAATTTATCAGAAAATTATTTTATGTTGACATTGTTGAAAAATGATTATAGTAGGATAAAATATAGATATTTCTAAAATCTGGTAAACACTCAGCTTATTTGAAGAATAATTGTTCTCGACCATATAGTTTTATAAAAGGCAACTCGCAATTAGACACTGACAATGTTGTTCGCGTTCAGAGAGATTAAGTTCTTAACTGGGGGTTGTTCAGTGTACAGAATGTTTCAAATAGATAGACAAAGGTTTAGGTACTGGAAATTTACTTGCAGTTTCGAATAGAAAGATTAAAGAACTTTGCATTAAGTCGACTATTATAGAAATAATATTATATATAGAATTCATTTCAAAAGTTTACATTTTTCCAGAATTAGAGAAACATTGAAAAAGAAAAATATAAAATTTTTTCATTGAAAAAAAAGAATTTAATCCGACCAATTAAACATTTAGTAAGGATAACTAAACAATTTTGACTTTTACAGTGTAAGTTGAGACTAATAGCAAATTTTTTAAAAATTCTAATACTATTTTTCTATTCAAAATTTGTCGGGTGTAGCAAAATTGATTTTTCATAAAGTATCTTATTACCGCATAGCATATAACCCAACAGAATTTTGTTGTTTTGACAAATTGTTTGAATGTGTGTTCAACTGAAGTTGTTTGATGTGGGTACACACATAATTTTTTTTTTATATATGATAAAGCAGGATTTCGTTCTGAAAAATTGAAAATCACTATTCGTTAATATAAGAGAAAGCTAATTTTTATAATAAAAAGACCCTAGTATGTTTTTTTTTGTTTTAAATTAAATTACTTATTAGAATTTCCGGAATTTTTCTACATGAGTTTCAACTAGTTTCGAACGAATTAATGAAATGAACATTTAAAACTAAAACAATTGTATTAGGTCTTTCTATTATAAAAATTATCTAGGATTTGGTATCGAGTCCTAAAAGTCTACGAATACGAATGCAAGATGAAATTTGATCAAGTATTCTAAAACAGTTTGGGATTCAGTTCAAAAGTTTTTGAAACAATATAATCGCCACTTGTTTACGTTCATAATTTTTTGTTACTAAGTCTAACGCTACTGGTTTACGTTCCTAGTTTCTACTTCTAAATACAAAACTTTAGGACTCTTTCTCATTCATCGTGGATTCACATTCCTCAATTACTAGGACTGAAGTGAGAATTTTCAAATTTCATTTTTCTCCGTGTTCAATACAACACTGAGTATATTCACTATATTATTTAAAAAACTCCTTAATACAAATAATATTGCTAGCTACTTCTTATTTTTGGTATTACCAAAGTTTGTGTAACGATTGTTAAAATTTATTCTTTTCTATTAGTAAATTTCTAGTACTTTTATATAGTACTAGAATTTTTTTAATTCAGTTTTTAAAAGAACTCAACTTTTTTTCAACTTAAGATTGATTTAATTATTTATTTGATTATATAATTTTAAGATTTCAAGAATAATGTATACGCGGTTTAAAGTTATTTTCCGGAAAAGTTTGTTAGTTTAATAAAGATGTTGAAAGAGACGAGAAAAGGTATTACTTTACACCATATATGAAGCAGGGCATGTTTTCAAATGTCTTTTACCTGTCTACTTTTCGCGATTACACTATTTCAGCGAGTAATCGTCTTCGTTGTGTCGGGAAAATCGTTTTCATGATGAAATGCACGCTTGGTTAAACAGTCTGGCATCGCGCGAGGCAAAAGTTTTCTCTGTGGTGAAACAAGGTCGACAGAAATTTGAACGTTGAGAGAGGATGTCAAGATTTACATCGAGACGAATGGATTTATAGAGGCGTCTCGATCAAAGATTGTTGCATGGTTTGAAGAGTGTTGTGAGGATAACAGAGAGAGAGAAAGAGAGGTGTACTAGGGAAAAGGAGGCTGGATCGTAAAATCTTTAGACGTAGGATATCTCCCTTTTTTTTAAGAGATTAAGAGGTCATCGTAGCGTAAACCGTTGGGTGCGTTTTCTCGTTTCGTCTGCTGTACCATTTTATCTCGTCTTGTCTCATTTCATCTTATCCGTCTCGTTTTATCTCATCTCGTCTGGTACGGTCAGATCTCGTTTCCCTCTCTTTCTCTCTTGCTCTGTTCAACACCCTCTGACGACTCCACCTCGCACCGGCAGTGTCAGTATCGACTGGGATTCGTTGGAGTAGGGGGGTTGGAATGAGAGAGACTGCGAAACAATTGTGCCGGGGGATGAAGAAGGATGGAGAGATGAAATAGGGGGAAGAGACAAGAGGAGAAGATGAAAAGAGAGAAGGGCTCTCGTTGATTCTCGGAAAGGCTCGTACGTTGCCGCCTCGAGGTTTCCACATGGTCTCGTATTAGCAGGAGCGGCTCTCGGCAATTCTCGGTTTCTTTCGGCGGAACGGTGTCCTGTCGGTGCTGCCACATGGTGCGTTGTTTGCGGGTGTCTAGCGAGTATAAGGGTGGGCCGGGGTGATAGTACCGACTCGGTTGCTTTCGGACGAGTTCGCAAGTCATCGCCAACGTCTCGCGTCGGGGCTTCCACATGGGTTGGTATTGGCTCCCGGGGCGCAAGGTGGTTCGTGTGCGGTGGGGCTCCAACTGCGAAAACGACGCGACGGTTTGGCTCGGCACAACACCCCCAAAACGGGCAGCGTCGCTACCTAAGGAGGGTTAGTCCGTCGTTTGGACCGGTGTGCGAGATGTCCTGGGAGTGCCCCCATGAGAATCCCTTTTCTACTGACGATTGGGGACCGGTCTTGTGAACCTTGTGCTAAATTGTTTTTATCATTAAAATTTTTCTCCAATTTCGGTTGGAAGCAAGTGTTACATCAATTTTTAACAACGTGTGCTTTTTTAAAATGTATTTTCCATGTGTGATGTTTCACTTCTGATATGAGAAAAGCAGAACCCTGAAATAAGAGGGGGTGACTTCCTCGTGAAATATGCCGGGTTGCGTGTGCGTTTCGAAATAGTGAAATAAAAACGTATGTCTACAGTGGTGATGTCGTCGTACCGGTGCTAGACTCCGGTAGTGTGTCTTCGGCAAGGTGGGCGCTACCGTTTAAAAGGGTAGTAGTCAATGACCTCGGTCTTGCTCTACATGTGTGGTGTATTGCAGAACGCATAGAGTTGTGTTTACTAATTTGTGAGTTTACGTTTTTCTTTTGTGACCCGGTGAATGATTCGATACAAATAGGGGAGGATATTCTTTTCAGGATGATACTTTTTGAAATAAGGAGCCAAAGAAGAACGAGGAAACGAAAGTCTGAGAAGTTGTTGAAGTGGAATAGCAGCAGGTTGATGTTGCGGCCGGCAACAGAGAACAAGAATATCACTGTCGGTGTATAGCGAGAGTTTGATAGAGGATATAAAAGTGTGTTTATAAAGTTTAGAACTTCGAATTGGTGACTCGTGGCAGGCCACCCTGGTGGATTGACAGTTGTTGAGGATTAATAAGGGGTGTTGCCTGGCCATGCAGTAGTGTGTATGACGCTGTGGTGCAGCAGTTACGACGTCGACGACAATTACGACGTGGGGATGTGCGACGCCAACTGCCAAAGAGGTCGAAGGGGGATAGCTCTGAGTAAATCGACTCGGTGCACCAAGTCGTGTTCACCGCATAGGACGCCCGGGGTCCGGTAGCTCGTTCATCGTCCTTATTTCTCATCGACGCCCGCGGGCAATGTGCCCACCCGCCGAGAGCGCAACGTAAGTCGTTTATCTGATTCGCTACTTTCTGATACGTCTGCTGTTTAGACCTTGACTTACCCCGATCGACTCGGAGAAGAGGACATTGCTCCAGCGGTTAACGCCTCTCTCTCTCCCCCCCTAAAATCTGCGCATGCAGCTGAGTGTTTAACTCTCGAGGAAACAAATAATTAGGATATGATAACTCAACTTATTATTCACCATCTATTTCATTCGAAAATTAAAACATAACTTTTTAGTTATGATTAGATTCTAATTTTACAATATATATGAATCATCCGGATTATGTGTGCTAGTTTCACTGCATTTAATTTAAAATTTCTAATTTCACAATCAAGTTGAATATAAAAGTTTTTTTGCCTGTTAAAGTAATACCTATATTTTTTCTTTTAAAATAAAATATAATAATCTTATTTTGAAAGAAAAAATAAAATTTTTAATGTCATTTACATAAAACTAATAATAAAATTATAAATCGAAAGTTTAGAAATATTTAGAATTTTTCTAAAACTACTTGTGTCGTTATTTATTTGAATTAAATAATTGAAAAATTTTACTTGCAAATTTTCGTAAATAAATATTGTGAAGAAACTTATGGCAAAAAAAAAAAAAATTGAATGCATTTGAAAAAGTTATTAAAAATTGACAAATATTTTGTAATCATATTTGCGCGATCAAAAATATCATTGTTGATATGTATTTGACTTTAAATTTTGTACACGCAATAAAAATTTTATAATAATCGGCTAAAAATGTGATAATTCGTACTTGATTTGTTTAAAATTGATATATTTTTTGATTAAAAATAACACGAAACGTTTGATTATATAAAATTTTCAACGTATAAGATAATTTTGAATTAAGTTATATTTGTTTCAGCTTTTGATGTAGTATAAAATAATGTATTTCCTTTATTTAATAATTGATTCTATCACACAAAATAAATTTCAATTAATATACAATATTAATTAAATTGTTGCTAATATTATAACGTTTAATATTGTTTACAATTTATTGTGTTTTATGTATATATTTATGAATCAATAATTTAGCTTATGGCTATAGAGAAACAATTTTCTATTTGTGGTGAATAGTTGGAGCGAGTTTGGTTTAGTTTGGTTCGCTTTAGTTTAAAAATGAAATTATTGAGGAATATTTATATTGAAAAAATATTAAAAAGATTTCATATATTGTTATTTGTAGCTTTTCTAACGAAAAGAAGCGTTCATGCATGAAAACAAGGTAATCAATATCAGGATGTCGATCATGTTGCTTTTCACCATAGTTTTATGTGAGTTACCCTGAAGCTGTAAATGATTGGTCAGTTAGGTCAAACTCACACGTGAAAATATAACTTTCAGTCGTTATAGTTAACTAACTCAATCATTTGAAAATATTCGTTTTTATTTGTTGATTTTGAAAAAGTTCATTTTGTTTGTAACCTATTGCCACCAATTTTTCGAATTGAAAATTACACAATTGACACACTGTGAAAGTAACATTTATGTGATTACTATTTTTAAGTCAATTAAGTGATATTTGTTCTAATCAGTGAAATTATTAATTTGAATACAGTTTATTTGATTTAAATAAAAATTATTAGTTACAATGATTACTTATAATTTACTTATACTTATTTTACGGAATTTACAAGCGCAAGCTCTTTACAATAAGATATTATAGGTGCAAAAAGATAACGATGAAATTTAACCCTTTAAAAATTGCACCCAAATTAAAATTTCATTGCTTTCTTATTTGCTTTTAATTCTATATTTTCGTTATGTATGAAGATACTTTATTTGTTGTTGTATTTTTTTTACCACTAGTTGATGTATAGGAAAATTTTCCAGAATGATTTTTTTTGTTATATTTCAATGTGAAGATGATGAAGGATAATTGTTAGGAAAGAAAAAAATGTGTTCTGAATTTTTGTTGGTTTGTGTGCGATATATATATATATATAGTTGCAGGTGTTATAGTGTTGTAGTTAAAGGCTTGTCACGTATGACTTGGTCCTTGTGTTGAAGCTGCCTTTATGTCGCAGTTCGTAATAAGGCTAATGCCCTATTTTCACGGTGTATAAAAGTGTCCTTGAAAAGATTGCTTTTCTCGCGCACAAGCTTTATGGCACGTTAAAAACAAATTTTTATTCTCGCAGTATGGCTCTTTTTGATAATTATTTTTTAATTGTTTTTCTTTTCAAAATTATATAAAGAACAATTTCATTGTGAAAGTTTTGTTATATATTCGTGGGGGTATGATCAACATTTTTTATTAAAGTGCGGCTTTTTAGAAATTGGAGAGAAATTGTCATATAACATAACTGGAAAATTTCCGCTCTCGAAGGAAAAGGAAAATGTATAGACGCATGAAAAATATGTAAACAATGTTTTAAATTTCACTGCTTGGCGGGTTTTAGTGATGACTTTATGACTTGGGAGACATTTCTGTTTGTTTTCAACAAGCCAACGTAATTTTAATAGTCACGTACTTCTCGAAGTCTTTTGCATTTGGAATATTTTGAGTGATACAGTTGTTATTAATGTGGTAAAAATAATTTTTGATTATAATTTTTTTCTTATTTCGTCTAATTTTTTTTGTAACAATTTTACTTATTTATTTATATCAATTTACTTATTTTTACATTTATATTTAAAGACGAAAAGATCCCTTGAAATTGTACTGTGGGCGTGCTCATTTTCCTTTCTTTTTTTTATTTTTACTTCGAATTGAGAATAAATTGCTGCTATTCCCATATTTTCCTGAAAAAACCACCATCCAGAAACTTGGTGCTTCTAGCTCGAAAACACTGAAACGTTTTTTACGGATGGAAAGCTACGTAATGTTTTCTTCGAAGTGCTAGAGAGAGAGAGAGGCATGCTTTTTGTCGCTACTGTCGAGACTATTTCTTCTATAAGTTAGATAGCAAAGATAAAAACCAGTTACTGATTCTGTACGACAGATAGAAGTATTTTTCGTTTCAAAAGATAAATATTTCAGATTATCGTATAATATGTGCTTTTATTAGAAATTATAATAATTTTGATAAAAAATTTGTTTATTTTATGTTACATTTGTAATAAAATAATATGTTTACAAAGTATTCGTTACATTTGTTTAATGTTTATTTTTGTGATTTCAATAAATATACTTTTTGTGAAGCTTGATAAATAATTTCTTTTCGTGTGTTTGTAAGATAATTGAATTCTATACTTGTGACTTTCTTACACTTTTGAAATTAGTTTCTTTCTTGTTCTATTGTAAAAAGTAATGAGTTTTCTTCGATGTCTCGATGTGGTAACAGAAAATGAGAGTTTCTTCCCTGTAGTACTCTGTCTTTTATCCAGTTATTTGAACTTGTGGCATTTTCTCTGGTAATTCCTGCTGCTTTGCGACACTTTCGACATGTTCGGTACTATATAACCAACAGTTCATGTAACGAAGTTTGGCGATATACTATTACGCTAATGTTTCGAAGTAAGTAGAGATATAGTAGAGTTGAAAGTGGATGACTGTCATGGTTAGTGAGCGGTATTATGGAATTTATGCTGCGCTTTAATTTTCAGGAAGTAACTAAAATTTCGTTAACTTATAAGACAGTCTTAGCGTTGAGACAATGTTTCAATTTGAATAAACGTCATTTTCATTTTAAACGCAGTTCTCCAAGATATGTCATTCTTCTCCTCGGAATCAACTTATGTATATAACTAAAAGTATAATATTGTTATCGTGTTTACATTGTTGTCACTCAAATTGTAAATTACAGTTTCTACTGTTTCAATTTGAGGGGAACTAATATTATTCATATTGAGAAATAATTGTATTATACTATTCCCAACTATTCGAGTCGGAAAATTAAATTTCAAGTATATTCATTAGTTAAAAAAATATTTTCCCAACAATATTGGGATCTAAATGATGTAATAAAAAGTTTTGTTAGAATCGGAAAAAATAAATTTAAAAATTTTTATTAAATGACGAATAAATAATAATTGGCTTTCCTCTCTGGCATAAAACCGAAGTTGAACACAAAACAAGAAGATCGATAGAACCAAAAGTTTCTCCGCGTCTGACCGAATTCCCGCAAAACTAATTTGCTCTATATTTACGTAACGCTCGAACGCCGAGCGTCATGTGTTATATACACCGATGCAGAAATGAATATCATGAATACGATGAATAGAATTTCCAGAGTTAATTCCAGGATAACCGCAACAGTAAAAGATATTCCATTCTTAGGTGCATTCCAAAGAATATATATATACAATTCTCAATTAATGTTTATATTTGATAAATGTATTTTTTAAAGTGGAGATTCCTTATATATAAGGGCAGTTTAGATTAAAAAAATAGGGCAAATTTTGTTTTGGTCTTAGAAAAAAAGTGTGAAGAGCTTAAGAGGCTGGAAAATTAGATTTCGCATCGTGAATTGGAGTAGCTGAGTGTCTATTCAAATTCAACACATGAACTGTAATAGAAGCTATATCTTTCACGAGCGTGTGGCCATTCCACTCACACTTGCCGTTATACACGGTACACGCCACTAGCATTTTGCATTTAGTAGAAACTCTGTTGAAACTTCCAAATGATACTCTCCGTCATGAACCTTGATGGACACAGATTAAGTTTTTCGGTAACATAGCATAAAACAGCTCGCGCAAAAAAAAGTGAAAGAATATACCCGCGACCAACCTACCTTCTATTTTTATTTTAATTTCATTCATTAAAAATTCTATTAACATTTTAATAAGATAATCTGACATTTATTTCCTTGATGTTTATTCATTTTGCTTTCTTTATACACGAAAATGGTTTTATTTAGAGAACGAAAATTTCACCATTGTATGTAGATTATATCGGATTAATGTTTCAATTGCCGTTTCTGATGTGTCTGACCAAATACTGACTTTTCTACTTTAAGGTGTAATTTGCTTCTAACTTTGAGATTTCAAGTAAATTTTTTTTTTAACTATTTCCATTGTTTTTTAAGGAAGAAAAAA